AACCTGATCCGTGCCATCGTCTTGGACGGACATGGCAGGAAGAGAATTGAGATCCTCGGTATCGGCGCGAGCCGCGGAAATGTCTATCGCGGGAATACCTGCAGGATTTACGGGAGCATCCATCGCGATCTACAAACGAAGTGAGACCTACGGCTGATAACCTATGTTTACAGGCAGAACAGCCTGAATGCGGACGCATATTTTCTTGAGCCAATGAACGACGGTAAGTACTGTTGACTAGCTACATCTTCCACAAAATACATTCTGGTGTCTGGCTTTCCGGATTTGGGGTTTGCGGGCTTAGGGGTTTAAGGTTCAAGGTTTCTGGTGTCTGACTTTGCGGATTTTTGGGTTTGGAGTTTGGGGGGTCAGGGTTCGAGGTTTCTGGTGTCTGGCTTTCCGGAGTTTGGGGTCTCCGGGTTTAGGGGTTTAGGGTTCAAGGATTCTCATGTCTGACTTTCCGGATTTTGGGGGTTGGGGTTTAGGGGTGTAGGGTTCAAGGTTTCTGGGGTCTGGCTTTCTGGATTTTCGTGTCTCAGGGTTTTAGGGTTCAAGGTTTCTGGTGTCTGGCTTTCCGGATTTGGGAGTTTTGGGTGCAGGGGTTCAGGGTTCAGGGTTTCAGGGCTACGGTCCTCCAAGGTTCATCCGCAAAAGCTCACAAAAAACAAATTGATGAACTTCGGTCCCAGGGTTTAGGAGTTTAGGCGGCGTTTGAGTTCCGGCTTTCTTTCGGGGATTGGCATACATATATATATATATATGGAATCTCTGGGTTCGGAGTTTCTCATGGCTTGCGGTTTCTGGGTTTCAAATTTCCGGGTTCAGAGTTTCTGGAATTCGGCTTTCTCAAATCGGGGTGTGTGGGTGGGTCTGCGGTTTCTGGTTTCGGGTTTGAGGCCGCAGGGTTTCTGGGTTTAAAGTTTCGCGCTGGAGAGTTTCTGTTCGGGGTTTCTGGGTTCGGGCTTCTGCTTTCAGTGTTTCTGGCTTTGTTAGGGTTTGGGAATGGGGGTTCAAGATATCGGAGTTTGAGTGTTGTAGGTTTCTGGCTTTGGGGCTTTGCCTCTTCCGTTAGTCCTTATGCTTCCCGGCCCCGACTGTTCTGAAAGCTCCCCCGACCCCCCCCTCCCTGCCAACTGCCGCATGTCAGCAGCACCCCCCCCCCCCAACTACTCATGTCAGCAAACGCAATATTGTAATATATATTGTAAAATGGGGGGGTACCCCCCTATTTTACAATATTAATGGTGGGGGGATGTCCAAGCTGACTCAAGGCGAACACAAACCTGGACACTGCAGAAACTAAGTCTGAGTTCAGCTCTTGCGCCCCCAGCTGTAGAGTGAGCCGTCCATCGATAAGGCGAAGGAGCAACTGCCAGAAGGTGGGTCAGGAAATTGTTGAAACAGTTACTGCAGTCGAGTGGAGGGCTGACTTCTTGATTTCGCGACTGGTTCGCAGTTCCGCCTTTTCGACGATTCCTGTATACGCCGACCACGGGAGGGTCGAAACCGACAAGTTTGGAGCCCAAGGTCTCCTCTAGAGCTTTGGCGAAAGTACCGAACTGCTCGCTGCCAAGTCTTCGCCTTCGACGATGACGACCGTTGTCGTGATCCGAACGGCGAGCTGGGCTGAAGATCCGGTACATTGACAGCTTTTTGATGAATGGCCCACCTCATCGACATGGAGATATCGTGAGATATGTAATTTATGCAAGTCAGCGGCCGAGGAAATCGGATTCGGCATCTTTCAACCCTGATCTGCTTGCCACGTCGCCTTTCATGCTTCGCAGAGCCTATGGAAGATCTGGGCACTGCAATGCCCTGCTTCGAAGATCTTGCCAGAACTTAAAGCTGAAGCCTTGTCAGACCACCAAGCTGCTCCTGCCTCTCGCCGGCCGCCACCTTCCAGATGCCCTTGAGGCCTTCCTGAACAGGCGGCCCCGGCTCAGACACAACTGTGGCTGTGGGATGCTGTGGGTGCAAACGGCGATTCAAGGAGCCCTCCGTTTAGACCTTTCGAGATCTGACCTCGGAGCGGCCTGGTAACGGCTCGGCAATGTGATGGCCGTAGGCTCAAAGTGGTGACGGTCCCCCCACCTGAGACGAGATGACTAGGCATTGCTTCTTGATCGCGAACGGGTTCATGTAAACACCACAGACAGTACTTGCCCGTGCGAGACAGCTCGGACGACAGACCTGCAGATTGGTACATTTTTGTGAGTCGTCGTCCCCCAAACGGTGGCAAGTCTGTTGCTCGGCCATGCGCTCGTAGATGGCACCCGCGCTGGTCAGTGCCACGATGTGGTGGTCACCGCAGGCCTAGTCCAGGCTCATCCCGTCCAGCTTTAACTTGCCAAGATCTGGACGTTTCATGAAACATCGGTTGCAGAACTGACTTGACGTCACGCAAGCCGACACGGCGGAAGATGGGCAAAGCGACAAACAAAACCGCTTATTGTATCGCCAACTCTCACTGTTCCGCATTATCTGTCCTGAGCTCTGTCCGTAAGGCCGCAGCGAAGTCTCGTAGAGCATGGCCCTCCATGGGCATGTTCCGCAACTCGGTCACAAGCAAAGTCTCGAATCCGTAAGCAGGACCAGATACTTACGCCGCAGTCAAAGCTGCTGCTATGTCTTTGTCTTTGTTTTGAAGCGGGACCCTACCGCACAGCGGTGTATCCGCCGCACTCATGGACAAAGCACTTTGTTCATGAGCCAACGTCTATGCCCAGCACGTTGAACTTACCTAGTGTATAGTCCAAGGCTTCGGCTTCTAAGCTAGCGGGCTTTTCGACTGGCACAGACAGGCATGTATCCTGCTTGAGGCTGCATAATTTTTGAAGCTATTTATAGGTCAGGGCAAAGCCTGCACGCGTGAAGTGGATGAAAAGCTTAAAGTAACAATACAAGGAAAGTCTCGCCGTAGTGTACTGCAGAGCCCGACTTGCCTTACGAGCCTTGCATGGGGTGGTGACTCGAGCTGCTTCCTGGATCATGGATCTACCACTTCCCGTCCTCTCAGGCTCTGGCCAGGAAAGGATAATGCATGCAGAAGTCTGGCCTCTGCATCACTTCGACACCTCGTGTGCAGGATCAGTCTGGTCTTGCGATTGGCAGCCTGCAGAAACCCAACTGGGAAAGCGATGGGTGGGGGGGCTATGCATGGCTTTTCAAAAATGATCGGAGACATTGCAGCCATAGCACCTGGGTCTGGGTAGATTGGGTCGGAACGGGGTATCGGACATCTTCAAACGGATGGCAGGGATGGGCATTGGGACATGTGCCGTGAATCCAGCCTGTGGATGCCTACGCGGGGAGCTGTGGTGACAGCTGTGTGGTGTCCTGTCCATGCAATGGAAACATGTAAGGCTGTAGCCCATGCCCAGCTGGCCGAAGTCGTTGCGGCCCCACACCTGAAGGAGGTGCAGGGAAAATTAATGCAGGCTTCTCACTGTAATTGTGTGCGACAGGCAATATCAGCATCACTGTCCTCTTGTGCAAATACCTAGCAAAACAGCGTCGAGTCTCAGGGCACCACCCAGATTTCACCGTGTGCAGACATTGCAGCGGAGAATTCCCTTCCTGCATCGACCTTCGCAATCTGCAAACTCCAGGAAGTCTTTTGCTTACTTTACTTGGCAGGAGAGTCCTCCTTTCCTCGTCATTGTTCTATTGATCAATCAAGTCCGGTCATGTGGCGCAAGAAACAGTGTTCATCAGCTTCAACCTCTCTCTCTCTCACACGGACTCGAGTCGATCAAAACATGCCCAAAGCAATCCTTTCCTGACGATGCTGTCGCATTGCTTTGCAAACCTTCATCTCTACCGGGAGTCTAACGCTTTCTTAACGCTCGAATGGGTGCCTGCCTTGACAATCACAGGCTCCTGGATCACATGAGCAATGCTGACTGCGAGTCACACACTCTGCCAGCTTGCCCCTTCGAAGGACACACTGCGCACTCAGAACCTGTCTTCAACGTGGTGGCGGATTTCAGAGGGAAAAGCCCGAGCAAGTTGCTCCTCACCCGGATTGAGAATGGAGTCGGTGGTCTTCCTGAAGTATTCAACCTTCCGACAGCCATGACTTAAGTAGCATCAGACCACTTGAACGGAACCGCTCGCAAATGGTCCAACGTGACTCTGCCTGCCGGGACCTAGAACCGCCCGCAAGCCTCATGGAAATCCAGCTCGTCACTCCAGGAAGCTATCCCGCCGCGACCTGTCAGTTTGCTCTGCCAGCACACCGTGTGAGAGTGGTGCAGCTGAGTCTGACACCCAGCCGGCCGAAGCTGCCCTGGCCCGTAGAGTGGACTCGGCCCTGCGTGTGGCTCAACGGTGGCCCGCTTGACTACTGCTCATTACATGTGCTTTCATTTGCGCGTTCAAAGGTTCTTCTGGATCTGACTCTAGCTCATCGAGTTGTGCTGACGTGGCTTTCCTTGGCATTGTGATCTATTGGCACTTTCGGGCCGTCCACGCATTGACTCTGCTCTTCATCGTCATGATGCGGGCATCATGCTAAGAACCAAAACGATCATTTTCCAAACTGTTCCCATTTACAAACGCCTCTCTGTCCAACACCAGCGTGTGGATGTCGCCGCAGGCCACCTTCTACAGCTGCGCACGGGCACAGACGCATGAAGCAGTCCGCAAAGCCTTGCTTTCACCTTCTGGTCCTCGGTCGGCGGCCAATTGCCAAGTCAACACAAGAGAGAGCCTTTTTCATCGCATCACTTGTCCAAGACAACGAAACCACTATACCCGATCCGGCGATGGCCGGAAGCCGGCACCGGGAGGAAAAATGCTACGCAGTCGCTCAGCGTCGGCTGCAGCAAAGCACAGCTAAGGACCTGCCAGGCAAAAAGAGACAGGATCGGACCGAGCCCGAGGCCGAACAGACCCAAGGAGTCGAGCACAAGAACCGTGTTTGCAAATGGCCAGGAGTCTCAGGGATCCGGACTCGATTCGACTCGATGGCCCTGCCTCTTGCCTCTGCTAGGACTTCACCACCACCACCAATACGAACTCACCATCGTCTTCTGGAACGTGGGCAGTGCGTTTACCGTGCTCCACCAGGAGTGAAGATTGGTGAGCTCCTTGCATTCGGGAGCAACCTTAAGCCAGGCCATGTTGCCAGGCCCCAAGGACTGCAGAAACAAGCACAACAATCTGTGCAGTTTTGGCTTTGATTTAGTATGATGAAAAACGAATCAGGGGGGCCAAAGTCCTTCGGAACCATCCCATCTTCAAAAAGCCGCTGAAGCCTGGGCAGAGCGTGTCTTCTCAAGACGGCATTCATTGACACTTCTTACCTCAGCCAAACTGTTCTACTGCTGATGAGGGTTCCTGCCGTCTTCACGGTCGTCGATAAAACGGCATGGCAGCAGTGGTGACAGCGGCAGCGGTGGTGGGAGGCATTAGTTGGTGTTTTGGGCGGCTATGCTAGCCGTTATCCTCACGAACCAGCACGTAAATAAGGGCAAGGATTCGAAGAAACGAATGGTGCGAGTCAGAACACCCAAATTCCAGGACAACCCCGTGACGGGCGCCTGGTGACAGCCAAGGGAAAATCGAAATACTAGATGCTCATCGCAGCAAGTGTTACTCTCATCGCAGCAAGTGTTGCTCTCATCGCAGCAAGTGTTACAACCAGATAAATCAACTACACAAGAAGGGAATGTAGTACCACCACAAATCAGACATCAGCTCCAAAACAAGCGAATATGCTAAGAGGATGCCGCAGCAGCAAGTTGCATCTACAGCCAAGAGAGACTCACGGCCACAAGGAAAGTCATCATCTCACAGGGACAGTCATGTCAACGGCAAGGGTAAAGTCACAGTCATAGGCAAGGCGGCAGTTGTGGCAACACCTACTTCGACTGAATTTCGCATTTCCGTAGTGGAGCGCGTATTGCTTGCGAAACACCGAGTGGATTCTCGGGCGCGTCCCAGGGCGAAGCAAGGCCTGTGCTCCCGGTGTACACTTCCCGTATCAACTCTCTGGGTTTTTCTCCTGAAGTTTCTACAGCCAACCTGAAGCTGTCATCATGTCCCCGGCAAGGCACATGGGTGCTGCAGATATGTCGGCCACCGTAACCTCGTCACCTGCCATGAAAGGGCCGGCCTGAGTGGTGCGTTCCAGTCCGGGCAGTCTGCCGGTCAGAGGCGTCTGGTGAAGCATGCAGCGGGGCCTTTTCTCGGTCAACATCTGAGACGGGGGCAACCAGCTTATCCAAAGCTTGAAGAACCTGCAGAGTCAAGGACGCAAACATGCCGACTGTAGTCAACATCATCAATTCTAAGCGCAGCTACTAGAGGTGTGCTGGGAGATTGCTGAAGGCGGCGAGCTCCAGAGGCATGCCGAGCCGCCAAGTTGAATAGAGTACTCGTCGGCGACGGTTCGGTTAGAACTCTTTAGTCTGACGGTTCCGAAATCAAGCGTCGAGCTGTGCATCTTTGGCCTTTGGCCTGAAATCTCGCATTGGCTTCGGGGGCCGAAACGAAGCTGAATCATGCCGGCTTCTTGACGAAAAGTGGGGGAGGGGGCGGGGTAATTATCTTGAAAGCTGCCAATCCACGGCTTTCGACATCAGGTAGCATACACAATCAAAAAGCTACATAACATGAACAAGACCTGAGACGTGAACACAGCGTGCGCTTGGGCCGCTGCCACAAGACTTCCATGGGTTACTGCCGCAGTTTCTACCTGCCTCACTATTTTGTGAGTGGCCCGTGGATGCCCTTGGCCCTTAACCGACGATGTTTCCGAACTCCGGAAACATGGTCCTGAAGCTGGAATAGAGTCGTCATGCGGCGCTGATGCTGGATGCTAGTAGCTTTAGTTCTGTATCAGTTTGCAACCTGGCAATCCGGGTGTCCGTTTCGGTCCCTTAGGCGCCACATGCAGCCGAAGATCTGGACCCAAGTCTGCTTGCTGCCCAAACATTTTCGCCTCAGCACGTGTCAACCCGCTGGAATGCTGGCCAACACTTGTTTCCATAACAGAGCACAGCCCCAGGCAGCTGGGTCTAGTTCGAGCTCCAGGTTTGTATTACCGTCATGTTCACCGACCACGACACCTGTTTGCCAGCAGGCAGAAGGCGTTGATTGATCAGCCGTCGGATTTCCACTGCATCCTCAGAGGCGAAGATGCTCCAAAGACAAGAAATGGCTCGGAGACAGCTGCATCTCGGCCATTTATGACCGGAGAAAAGCTAAGAGAATTTTTTTAGCTACCCATCTGCAACCCCTCTTCGGAAAAGAACTCTCATTCTGCGAGAAGTGAGCCGGTGCATATGAGTTGCCGGGCTTGCTGCTGCGCCTCGGGCACTCGTCCAGCATTTTGGAAGGAAGGCAAGACATGGAAAACCATGGCAGAGACGTCCCTGAACTCTGAGGCTGGAGCTGAGGGCTTTTGAAGACTTTTGGGCAATGGCCTTTGAAACGAGTGAATTTGGTCCAGGGGCTGAATGGTGTAAGGCACCAGCCATGCAATGCAAACACATGCGCGGCAGAATCGCCGCTGCAGCACCGACTTGACATCTAAGGAAAGGAGAATGACTCCGACCCTACGCTACCCAGAGGTTGGGATTTGTATCTACGCGGACTCTACAAGGCCTTTCTCAAAGCGGCCGACAGCCAACCCAAGCCGTGTTGCATCGACGATATCTTCTGACTCCACCTTGCCATTGCGCAAGCACTTTCAGCTCTAAGCCACGGGACAACTGCAACGGCAGCTGCACATCCTCACGGGCCAACGCTGACAAACCGCTAAACAACCGAGCTGCAATCACTTTCCCAGATGGGTCTACCAGGACTGGCACCAGGCCCTTCGGGTTCAAGTCGTACACCAGTCTGGCCCCTGCCATGCGACAGTCATGTGACACCAGGAAAATTCAAGAACACACGTGCCAAACCCTGAACTCTTAAGGAAACAGTCCAGCAAACACAGAATGCCCTCAAAGTGGAAATGCAGGTGCACCCAACTGGACGCGTCTCCCGCTCTGGCGCGGTGTCTTTCCAGGTGCTATCTACTTTGGCTGGGGCCACCTCCGTTGCAAGACTTCGACCCTATTTCGCCCTCGACATGTCTGAATCTCGCCAATTACTGGTCATGTCTCGGCCAGGGTGGTCTCAATGGGTCTTGTGGTGGTCTCCTCGAACTCTCCTGGGGTTAAGTCGTCCTCGTCGTAGTGGTTGGGTCGCCTGGCCTTCTCGTGGAACCGCGGGTTCGTTCAGAGTGCAGTCGTGGCGTGGGTCACAGCCCAAACGGTTCAAGTGGTAGTAGTAGTCGTCGTAGTAGTAGTTGCAGTAGAAGCCGCTGTAGCAGCAGTAGCAACAGTGGTAGGAGTGGTAGTTGTTGGTATTGTAGAGCGTGCAGCAGTGGCACCGACAGCAGCAACAGTTTGTTGTTGGAGTCGCCGCCGCCGCAGCAACAGTGGTCGTAGAAATAGAAGTGGTAGTGGTAGTAGTAGTAGTAGTAGTAGTAGTAGTAGTAGTAGTAGTAGTAGTAGTAGTAGTAGTGGTAGTGGTAGTGGTAGTGGTAGTGGTAGTGGTAGTGGGTAGTAGTAGTAGTAGTAGTAGTAGTAGTAGTAGTAGTAGTAGTAGTAGTCCTGGTCCTGGTCCTGGTCGTGGTAGTAGTAGTAGTAGTCCTGGTCCTGGTCCTGGTCCTGGTCCTGGTCCTGGTCCTGGTCCTGGTCGTAGTAGTAGTAGTAGTAGTAGTAGCAGCAGCACTAGCAGCATAAGCACCTGTAGTAGCCGTAGTAGCAGTAATTCTTGCTGTTGTTCTTGACATTGGTAGTGGTAGTAGTCGTAGTAGAATTAGTGGTAGTAGGAGCAGGAGTAATGGCTGCAATCGTACCAGTAGCAGCAAAGTAACAATAACAGCACCAGTAACATTCACGAAAACAGGAACAGCAACAGCAACGGCAACATTGAGAGCTGGCAGTAAGCGAATAGCGAGTAAGATGGAGCACATCACAAGAAGAAACTTCAGTAGCAACACTAACATGTTCAGCACAGAAGACCACGCTTCATGAGAAGTGGCACGCAACGATCAGGCATTTTTTGCCGCCTACTTCGCAAGGATGAGCCTGCGTGGCCGGGTTAGTTAGGTGGGCAGGTGTCAGTCAGGCAACGAGTTGGAACGTCACTGTCTCAACCTGCATGCACATCATAGTCATGGTGATGCTAATTGCAGAACTGGTCAACTTGATTATGGCAGGAAAAGCAGAGTGAACCGGTTGAATCGGAGAGGTGCGAATTTGAAGGCGATGCACAAAATGCAGCTTGCTTTACGAGAGGATGCCTTGGGCTCTACCCTTCTGTTGTCCTAGTCAGGATCTTGTCCATGGCTTTATGCCTACATGCATATGACCGCAAATGCAAGTGTGCACATAGATTGTATCTGTATATACATGTATATATATATATATATAGGTGGTTGTCAAGATTGCGGTCCCTTTTGCCGTACCCTAATTAATAGGTGACATATTCTACTACGTACCCAAACAGCGACCATAGTTTTGACAACCACCCATACGTACATGTGTATATATATATGTATATGAATGTATGTATATCTATTTTGATTCATGTGATCAGGTCACATGTTCTTCTAGATTTAGGAAAACAGAAAACGAAACTGAGAAACTGTATTCTGCTTGTAGTCAATGCAACGTGTTGACGGACAGTCGACCGACTAACTGCTTAAATGCAAAGCCCACGCACCCCTTTCGGGCTCTCCGTCCTTTTTTCTCCTTGGCTGGTCGATGATCCCACGTTGCCTGCCAGCGCAGGTTGCCTGCATCAGCACATACACGCCATCAGCTCGTGCCGATGTTGCCTGCGGTCTGCAGTCGTTCCAAGATATGGCTGCGAGTCGAATGACCCCTGCCCCTTACACAGGGCTCTGCCTCGGGCTGCTGGTCTGAATGCTCCCCTACAGCTACCACGTCTTAGATGAAAGCGACATAGAGTTGGGCAAATGTATGTGTATCTAAACTGTGCGTGTGTACAAACAAGTTATATGTATGTACACGAACACGTCATGACAAATCTGTGAACACGTGCACACATAAATCTGTTCATCCATCCGTGCCTGCGCATGCGCGTACACACAGACACACAGATATACATAAGGTTGCTCCAGAGGTGCAGATCGGAACCGTGTTGAACACTATCTGACTGTCTGACAACAACGGTCCCCAACATAGAGTGTCACAAGCCGGCCCTGTCGGACCAGGTGCTGGTACAAAGAGACCGGTCATGCCTTGACGTGAGCACCCGCAGCCATGGCATGGAACATCTATGCCAGTGTCTACAACACGAACATCAGTGGGCAAACTCCCCTGAAGACGTGGGCTGCTGCTGTCCAGCGAACACGAGTTCAGGATCCGAAAGGTTTTTCGGACAGTGACCACGAGGAGCCAACAAAATCAGCTACAAGGACTGCCTCGCTTTGCGCAAGCATAAGCCATCATGAGCAACAAAATGGACCTATGGAAGTCTACACCCCACCTACTCGTCCATATACCAACAAATTTGCTGTATCCTCAACGCCAGACACGCACCAGGAATGAAGCATCTCCTTGATTGGCACCGTCAAAACTTGCGATCAAAACTCCCTGAGGGCAAACCTGTTGTGCTGTCGTGACGCCTGGACTGCAAGGCCAGCACATGGAGCTACCAGCGAACGGTCAGAAAGGTTCAGCAAGGATCGGAGCTGACATTCATATGCTTTGTAAAATAGATAATTGCTCGAAAGCAGGGGCGCCTGTGCAGTCCACCTCTTGGCAGCCAGAAATCCAGAAAGCACCCTTCAATCCAATAGCGGGGACCTTTCCGTGCTGGATGCCGAATGGTGACAGTTCAGCGGAAGGATTCCATTGAAATTCGACTAATGCTTGGGTCTGAGCGCAATCATTAAAACACTCACCCAAAACTAATTTGACCGTGCGACCCTGGGTGGCGGACGAAGCTTAATCTACGCCCCGGGCTCCCTAGCGAGCTCCTCTTCCCTGTGTCTTTGGAGTCGCAGTGCCAGTACTCAGCCTGTACGAGTATTACTAGTATTACGACTAGTAGTCGTAGTAGTAGCAGTAGTAGTAGCAGTAGTAGTAGTAGTGGTAGTAGTAGTAGTAGTCGTGGTAGTGCCGTCGCACAGTAGCAGTCATCGTCGCCGCGGCGGTAATAGCTGCAGCAGCAGGACGAGGACAAGGACAAGTACTAGCAGGAATGACAAGGACAAGGACAAGGACAAGTACTAGTACTAGCAGTAGCTGTAGTAGTAGTAGTAGTAGTAGCAGTCGTCGTCGTAGTAGTAGTAGTAGTAGTAGTAGTAGCAGTATTCGTATTAGTAGTCGTCGTAGTGGTAGCGGTCGTCGAAGTGAAAGTCGTAGCAGATGTAGTCGCTTTAGTAGATGTAGTAGGTGCAGGAGTAGTACTAGTAGTATAGTTGTAGTAGTGGGTAATAATAGTAGTAGTTGTAGCATCGTAGTAGTATTAGGTGTGGGGTAGTACAAGTAGTAGTAGTAGTAGTAGTAGTAGTCGTCGTCGTAGTAGTAGAAGTAGGAGTAGTAGTAGTAGTAGTAGTAGTAGTAGCAGTTGTAGCAGCACTAGCAGGGCACTATTGGTGATAGCGGAAGCAGTAGTAGTGTCAGCAGTGCAAGTAGCAGTAGTTGCAGTGGTAGTAGTAGTAGTAGTAGTCGTCGTCGTCCCCCTACGAACCACATCTCCTAAGCACTATTGAAGAGCACATCCGTTGTACTCGGTATTTGCAGTATTTTCGTGATGTCGTAGCCCAATACCAACCACCACTGTTGAGCACTCTTGCTGCTTGCGGGATGGGGCGCATGATGGCGAAAGCACATCCATGCTACATGGTATTTCAATACTTTCATGATGTCGCAGTCAGGTCCTACCAACGATAATGACGATGGGTTTAGGTGCCAGGTGGTTGGTAGGCAGCGGGCGTGGCTAGAAGTAGATGTAGAAGTCGGTAGAACTGGCAGTAGCAGTAGTAGTAGTAGTTGTAGTAGTAGTAGTAGCAGTAGTAGTAGTAGTAGTAGTAGTAGTAGTAGTAGTAGTAGTAGTAGGAGTAGTAGTAGTAGCAGTAGTAGCAGTAGTAGTAGTAGACCATCGTATTTGCTGTTTGTAGCTCCGGATCGTTGTAGTAATAGTATCGGTGACAGGGTTTTCTGTCATCGAGTGGGCCCTCGTTCCTGTTACAGGTTCCCGTTACGGACAGCCTGTTCACGTTACGGCAAATACTCGATCATCAAACCCAAGCATTACTCGCCAAGCCATGAATATCGCTGTACTGCGATATCACCTACGTCGCAAAGCCGATAGTCTCGGCAGGTATTGCAACACTCATAGGCGCAGTTTATGCCGCTAGCTGCAGCGCACTGCACAGCAACTTGAGCAAGGCAGCCGCGGCCTCACTGCTTCTGCTACAGAACCCAATATTGTGGAAAGGTTTGCTTCATGTGTAATCAGGCCATAAACAAACATTCTGCTGTAGTTGCTGCAAACCTATGTATCTCGGACACCATTTTTCGGCTGCATCCCGTAATATCCGTAGTCTTAAAAAACAGCGAACGAAACCTGTGCTGCTGCCCTGTGGGTGCTTCGACAGAACACGAAGCAGGAAAATGCTCGTACCGGGAGCAATCTTGCGAAGCTTCCTCTTATATCACCACAAGAAGTTCTTGACGAAACAGACTCGTAGCCAGTTGCAGCCACAGCCCTGGACTTGACATGCTAACCTAGAGGAAAGAACACTAGCTATCGATGACGTTGCTGTCTGAACGGTCGACTTCCACTGCCGTTTGATGTCTGCACCTGTCGCTCTAGCTTTCA